CACAAAATCAGAAAAGTGACTGTTCTACTAGATTTGCATGTATCAATGCAGAGACACAAGAAACATGAAAAAGCAAGGAAGCATGACACCCCTGAAAGACCACAAAAATCCCCAGCAATAGACACAAAAGAAAAAAAATTGATGAAATTCCTGAAAAAAAAAATCAAAATAATAACCTTAATGAAACTCGCTGAGATAGAAGAGAATACAAACAGTTCAAGAAAATCAGGAAAGCTTATTCACATGTGAGTGAGAATGCCAACATAGAGATAATCATTAACCCCCCCCCCCAAACAAGCAAAAACCCCAGAAAACCTTGAACTAAAGAATCAATGAATAAAATTTAATAGAAAACTTCAATGACTGACTAGATTAAGTAGAAGAAAGAATTTCTGGACTTGAAGACAGGTCTTTTGAAATAAACAATACATAATGAAAGAAAAAAATGAAAAGGATGAAGAAAGCCTAGAAGAACTATGTGATACCATTAAATGAACAAATGGGATTTCGAGAAGTAGAAGAAACTTGAAAAAGGCATTGAAAACCTATTTAATGAAATAATAGCTGAAAATTTCCCAAGTCTTTTAAGAAATATGGACATCTAGATTCAGGAAACTCAAAGGTCCCCAGATATATTCAATCCAAAAAGGTTCTTTCTGAGACACATCATTGTCAAACTATCAAAAGTCAGAGTCAAAGAGAAAATTGTAAAACAGCAAGAAAAAGTATCAAGTCACACATAATAGAAATCACATTAGACTAACAGCAGATTTCTCAGCAAAAATCTTAAAGGCCAGGAGAGAATGAGATGATATATTCAAAGTGTTGAAAGGTAAAATCTGCCATCCAAGAATACTATTCTAAGCAGAGCTGTCCTTCAGAAGTGAAGAAGGAAATAGAAAACCTGAAGAAACCAATAATAAGCAATGAGACTGAATCAGTAATAAAAAGATTCTCAACAAAGAAAAGCCCAGAACAAGATTGCTTCATTGCTGAATTCTACCAAATTTCTGAAGAAAAACTAATACCAATTATTTTCAAACTATTTTTAAAAACTGAAGTGGAGGGAATTCTTACAAATTTATTCTATGAGACCAGCATAACTCTGCTACCAAAACCAGACAAGGACACAATAAAAAAAGAAAACTACAGACTGATATCCTGATGAACACACATGCAAAAACCCTAAACAAAATATTAGCAAAAAAAAAAATCCAACAGTACATCAAGAAGATTATATACCACGATCAACTGGGATTGGTAAGGATGGTTCAACATACACATATCAATAAATGTGACATATCACATCAACAGAATGAAGAACAAAAATTATATAATCATCTTGATAGATGCAGAAAAAACATTTGCTAAAATTTAACATGCTCTCATGATAAAAACTCTCAAGAAACTAGGTATAGAAGGAAGATATCTCAACAAATTAAAGGCCATATATGACAAAGTGAAAGCAACAGTCTGAGCTTTTAGCTTTTCCCCTAACAATTGGAACAAGACAAGAATGCCCACTCTCACCACTTTTATTCAACATAGTACTGTAAGTCCTACTTACAGCATTTAGGCAAGAGAAAGAAATATAGGGCATCTAAATTGGGAAGGAGGAAATCAAATTTTCCCTGTTTGCAGATGACGTGATTTTATATAAAGAAACCTAAAGACTCCACAAAAAAAATCTCTTAGATCTGATAAACAAATTCAGTAATGTTTCAGGATACAAAACCAATACACAAAAATCAGTAGCATTTCTATACACCAACTATGAACAGGCTGAAAAAGAAATTAAGAAAGCAATCCAAATATAATAGCTACCAACCAACCAACCAACCAACAAACCTAGGAATAAATTTAACCAAGGAGGTAAAATATCTCTACAAGGAAAACTATAAAACACCAATGAAAGAAATTTAAAAGGATACAAAAAGTTGGAAAGACATCCTATGTCCATGGATTGAAAGAATCAATATTGTTAAAATGACCATATGCTCAATATAATCTCCAGATTCAATGCAACCCCTATCAAACTACCAATGACATTCTTCACAGAGATAGGAAAAAAATCCTATAATTCATATGAAACCACAAAAGACTTCAAATAGCCCAAGCAATTCAGAGTGAGAAGAACAAAGCTGGAGGCATCACACTACCTGACTTCAAACTATACTACTAAGCTACAGTAATCAAAACAGCATGGTAATGGCATAAAGACAGACACAGAACAATGGAACAGATTAGAAAACTCAGAAATAAGCCTACATATTTACAGCCAAATGATTTTTGATATGGCTACAAGAACATACATTGGGTGAAGGACAGTCTTTTCAATAAATGGTGCTGGGAAAACTGAATATAAATAAGCAAAAGAATGAAATTAGACCCCTATTGCTCACCATATAAAAAAATTAACTCAAAATGGAGTAAAGACTTAAATGTCAGACCCAAAACTACGGGTCTGACATTTAAGTCTTTAAGAGTAAACATAGGGGAAACACTTCAGGACATCAGTTTTTACAAAGACTCAAGAGCACAGGCAACAAAAGAAAAATAAGACAAATGAGATTATATCAAACTAAAACCTTCTGCACAGTAAAGGAAACAATCAACAGAACAAAGAGACAACCTGCAGAATGGGAGAAAACATTTGCAAACTATACAGCTGGCAAGCAACTAAGATCCAAAATATACAAGGAAATCAAACAAACAACAAAAACCCCACAAATAATTCAATGAAAAAATGAGCAAATAAGCTGAATAGACATTTCTCAAAAGAAGAAATGGCCATCAAGTATATGAAAAAAAAAATGCTCAGCATTACTAATCATCAGGGAAATGCAAATCAAAAGCACAATGAGATATCACCTCACCCCAGTCAGAATGACTATTACCAAAAAGCCAAAAAATAACATGCTGGTGAGGATGCCGAGAAAGGGAACTCTTACACATTGTTGATGGGAATATAAATTAGTACAGCCATTATGGCAGACAGTTGCTCAAAAAACTACAAAAAGAACTACCATATGATTTAGGAATCCCACTACCAGGTATATATATTCAAAAGAAAGGAAATCAGTATGTCAAAGAGAGAACTGCATTGTCATGTTTGTTTTAGCATTATTCACAATAGCCAAGATATGGAATGCACCTAAGTGTTCATCAACAGATAACTGAATAAAGAAAATATGGTATACATAAACAATGCAATACTATTCAGCCATAAAATAAGAATGAAATTCTGTCACCTAGTACAAAACTGAAAGACTTTGAAAACTAATTTAAGATGAGCCTGGAATGCATTACATTAAGTAAAAAAGATAGAGACAGAAAGATAAATAACACATTTTTCTTACTCATATCTATCTGGAAGCTAAAAAGTTGATCTCCCAGGTAGAGATTAAAATAGTTGTTACCAGAGGCTGCATGATGTGGGAGAGACGGGGGAGTAGGAAGAAGCTGACCATCAGATAAAAGTTACAGCTGGATAGGAAGAATAAGTTCTAGTGTTCTATAGCACTACAGAGTGATTACAGTTAATAATAATTTATTGTACTCAGAATTTCAAATAGCTGGAAGGATTCTGGAAGTTCCCAACACAAAGAAACAATAAATGTTTGAAGTGATGAATAGGCTAATTTCCCTGATTTGATCATTGTACATTGTGTACATGTATCTAAATATCACACTGTACCCCATAAATATGTACAATTATTATGTGTCAATTAAAAATAATAATAAAGAATAAGGAGACTGCACTTTCACCTATCAAATTAGCAAAGGTAATGAAGACAAATAATAGCTAGTTTTGAAGGGGGTGAGGAAAAAATAGCAAGTTATATTCTCTGGTAGGACATAATATTGTTGCAATATGCTTCAAAATGCTTATAGTTGTTTATACTTTTTAGATCACAATTCCATCTTTAATATTAAGAAAATATTAAGATTATTTACACATATTTCTCTATGTTCAAGCAAGCATTATTTTACTGATATCAACTTCAATTTTGAACAGATTAAGTAATTGTGATGCAGTCCATTGAATACTATGCAACCATTAAAAACGACATAAAAATATATTTACTGAAACATGTTTTCGATATACAGTTAAAGCAAAACAACTAAGATTACAATAAAGTATTTTTGTAAGAATATTAGGAGGGGAGAGAAAGAGAGAAAAGGGAAGAGATGGCAAGAGATGGCAAGCGAAGTAAAGACAAAAGAAAAGAGAAGCGAAGTCTGGGTAGATTTACATCAAAAGGTTCAAAAGGAAAAGAGTCTTTCCTTCTGGGTGTGACTACTGCAGATTTTATTTTTATTTTCCCCCGTTTTTTTCTTATTTACATTTTCTGATATTAAGAGAAACTATTACTTTACAACTTAAAAATATTTTGGTGCTTCAATAATACAAAAGACTTTATTTCAAATGCTGCAAATAATTAAATCCTTACTAAATGTGGAAATGTTTGGTGTCATAATTTCTGCCGTGCTATGCAAGACCAGATTTCACCTTGGTAGTCAGAACTGGTGTAGGATCTTGTCCCACTGCTACTAAAAAGGCACATGGTTGTTCCAGCTCTGTACATTAAAATTGTCTTGATAATAGAGCAACCAGTTACTTATTAGGATGGTCAAAATGCATATTTCAAAAATACCTATTAAAATATTAGTAGTACTAATAATACTGCTACTTAAAATTTTCTAGTGAAAACTATGATAAAATTTCAAAGCAATATAAGCACATAAATAGTAATAATATCGGTTATGAAATTAATTGAAACACGTGGTTATTAAAGTGAAATCATTTGTGTTAAATAGTGGTTTCTTAACCCATTGAAATTTCTTCTCTGGCCTAAAGTGAGCTTTCTATGAAGAATAAAAAGATATTAAATTGAAAAGTGTTGGCCAATAAATGAAGAGATAAAGCCAGAAACCTTGTTTAAAGAACTAACAAAAAGGTAATGAATGATATGGTGCTTCTTGTATTTTCTAGTTACCTGAGGAGAAGACTATGCTCAAGCATGTATGGAAGCCAGTGATAGCTATGATGTCATCCAAACTGCTAGCAGCTATTAGTAAGCTTGGAATGCCTTTTACTCTACCATATCCACGTTCCTGCAAAAGCAGCATGGCAGGGACAACAACAGCAGGAGAGACAGCACCTAGTACAAAACTGAAAGAAAGACTTTGAAAATCAATTTTTAAAATATTTTTATTTTTTGAAAACCAATTTAAAAACATCCTTTTAAGCAAATAGTGTTTTATTGTAAACTTTATAACAATTATATTAATCTTTATAACATTTTCAAATGCAAAAAAATCTGCTTTTGAGTGAATACTATTTAATGGTGATAAAACTTTATGCATTCTTTAGTGCTGGCTAAAATTTTATATAAATGTTATTCAAGATGTTGGACTGAGCACAAACTACAGTCTCTCTCTATTCCTAAATGAGGATATAAATGAAGATATATTGAAATGAAGATGTAAAAATAGAAAAATCCATAACCTGACTAGGAAACAAAAGGGGAATACTCGGTAGACAAGAAACTAAGTGCATCTCAGGAAATTAAGAGACAGTTTAGGATTGAAAAAGGAAACCATAAGCCAAAACGTGCATAAGTAAAGACTGCTACAAAAGATATGGTGTAATTCCAAAGGTGCTCTTAGCCCAGACATGGCTGCTGCTGGAAGAGAGACCTCTGGAAAACCCAAATGGGTAATTATTTAGAATACCACTGTAAGAATGGCCAGACAAATCTACCTTCCATACCATTGCTACCTCTTCAGTAAGTCAGTAAGGAACACAGGCGTCTGCCCAAAAGAAGGAACAATGAGTGCGGGCACCTAAGTTACAAAGGCAGGTGAGAAAATTCCTGGAGTGGTTGATGAGATCCATGAGGAATGGGGAAACTCCTGTCAGAGCACCTTCTATTAGCATATCTCATCAAAAATTTTGCCTCATCTCTTTCACATTCACTGTCTAAAGGCTGAAGTATATACCCTGTGTATATATACACATCCCTCGGCTGCTGCTTGTTGGCTGCTAACTACCAATACCTGGAGGTTTCCTGGAGCGTTGCCTTGCTGACAAGAGCCTACCTGGGCAAGCTAGGGAGGTTTTGACCCAGTCTGCCCTCCCTCCAGACAGCTGCCATTAATGACTGATGTGAGTGTCTAATCATTTAGCCTCTTTGCCTCTGGCAGTACAACCTCTACAGTGCAGTTTATGCTCCAGATTTCCCTGTGGATTCGTGAAGAGACTAGACTTCTCTGAAACCACATATTTGCCTACTTCAGTGGTTCCTAAACATTGCTACACATTGGAATCACCTGGTATTTAATTGATCTCTTTTTGCTTAAATCATCCCCAAACAGCAGCTGAAAACAACAAACATTATTAGCTTATGACTTCTGTGGGTCAGGAATCTGGGTATGGCTTAGCTGTATGCCTGTGTCTCAAGGTTTTTCATGAGGTGGGTGGGAGAAAATCTGCTTCCAAGTTTACCCACGTGTCTGTTGGCTGGCTTTGGTCTCTTGCTGTGGGGCCTATCCAAAGGCTGCCTCAGAGCATAGCTGCTGGCTTTCCCCATGACAAGCAATCAAAGAGAATGTAAAAGAACATGCAAGACAGAAGCCATAATTTTCTTATAACATAATCTTGGAAGTGACATCCCATCACTTCTGCTATATTCTGCTCATTAGAAACAGGTCATTAAGTCCAGCCCACACTCCAGAAGAGGATATTATACAAAGGTGTAAATGTTAGAAAACAGGCATCACTAGAAGTGATCTTCGAGGTTGCCTGCTGTGTACTTGGGGACCTTTAAAGAATACTGGTGCCTGGCTCCCAGAATGAAGTATTCTGATTTAATTAGTATGAAGTGTGACCTGAGTGCTGGTGCATTTTTTTTAAAGTTTTAAAAAATTGTGGTTAAAAAATACTTAACATAAAATTTACCATTTTTACATATTTACATAACCTTATGCTTATTTTTAAGCATACAGTTCAGTAATATTAACTATAATTACATTGTTGTGTAACAGATTTTTATTCTGAACATTTTTATTCTGAAAAACTGAAACTCCATATTCATCACACCACTCACTTTTTGCCCCCTCCCCCCAGTCCCTGGCAACCACCATTCTACTTTCTGTTGCCATGTTTTTGAGTACTTTAGATATATCATACAAGTGAAATCATACAATATTTGACCTTTTGTAACTGGCTTATTGCAATCAGCATAACGTCCTCAAGGTTCATCAGGTTGTAGCATGTGACAAGACTTTTTTATGGCTGAGTAAATTTCCATTCTATGTCTATACCATATTTTCTTTATGCATTCATATGTTGATGGACATTTGGACTGCTTCCATCCCTTGGCTATTGAAAATAACGTGGCAAAGAACATTAGTATGCAAATATTTCTTCAAGATCCTGCTTCCAATTATTTTGGATATATATCCAGAAGTGGGATTGGTGGATCATATGGTAATTCTACTTTTAGTTTTGAGGAATCTCCAAAGTATTTTCCATAGTGCCTGCACTATTTTACATTCCCACCAGCAGTAAACAAGAGTTCCAATTTCTTCACATCCTCACCAACACTTGCTATCTTCTGTTTTTAAATATATATATTGGCCATTCTAATGGGTGTGTAGTGATATCTCATTATGATTTTGATTTGTATTTCTCTAACAATTATAGATGTTGAACATCTTTTTATACACTTGTAGGCCATTTGTATATTTTCTTTGGAGAAATGTCTATTCAAGCCCTTTGCCCATTTTTTCATTTGGGATTTTTGTTGTTGTTGTTATTGAGTTGTAAGAGTTCTTCATATATTCTAGATATTAACCATTTATCAGATTTATGGTTTGCAATGATTTTCTCTCATTCCAAGCATTACCTGTTTACTGTTTCTTTCCTTTGCTGTGCTGAACTTTTTAAGTTTGATCTGATCCCATTCATCTATATTTGGTGTTGTTGCTTGTGCTTTTGTTGTCATATCCAAGAAATCGTTGCCAAATTCAATGACATGATGCTTTTCCCCAACTTCATTCTTTTGCATGTGGATATCCAGTTTCCCCATGACTATTTGCAGAAGAAACTGTCATTTCTCCATTGTGTAATCTTGGCACCCTTGTCAAAGATTATTTGACCAAATATGTAAGGGTTGTTCTTGGGCTCTCTATTCTGTTCCATTGGTCTTTGTGTCTTTCTTTAGGCCAGTACCACACTGTTTTGATTACTGCAGTTTTCTAATGTGTTTTTATGGCATCCCATAAGTTCCTTAGGCTCTTGTATTTTTCTATATCCATTTTTCTTTTTGCTCCTCTGACTTGATAATTTCAACTAACCTGTCTTTAAGTTCACTTATTCTTTCTCCTGCTTGATGCAGTCTGCTGTTGATCACTTCTAGTAAAATTTTCAATTCATTTATTCTTCTGCTCCAGAGTTTTTGTATTTCTTTATAGTTTCTATCTCTTTGTTGATATTCTTATTTTGTTCATCTTTTTCCTAATTTTATTTAGTTGTCTGTGTGTATCATCTTTTAGCTCATTGAGTACTTTTATGATGATAACTTTAAATTCCTTGTTGGTTAGTTCATATATTTTCATTTGTTTCCAGTTGGTTTCTGAATATTTATTTTGTTGCTTTGATTGAACCAAGAATCCCTTTTTTTTGTATGCCTTTTTATTTTATTTATTTATTTTGGTGGCTGGCTAGTACAGGAAATCCATGCCTTGTTATCTTTTTTTGAAATTTGGTCATTTTGAAAAACAGCCACCTCTCTCAGTGTCTATGGATTGTCTTTGTGCAGAGGAAGACCTTCACCAATCAGTCCAGTGAAATTCTGGGACTCTTTTAAACCTTTCTGGATATGTGTCTCTGGTCTTGTATCTCTCAGCTGAAGAGGTTCATCTTTTTCTACTCAGGAGTTCCCCCTGGTGTCTGTCTGTAGTACTGCAATCTCTCTGGTGCTGTAGTAACCTGCAGAACTCAGGTTTGTTCTTAGTGGGCCCCAGACATCTAAAATGTGCCACTTCCTTTCCCATCAGTGATCCTAGTCACTGTTATAGAAACTAGTCCCTTGGGCATCCCCCTAAAATCCAGAACACAGGTCACATGTTCCACCCTTCTTTTTACCTCCTGAGGGAGAAACTGGGAGTTAAGAGTTTTCTTCCAATTGTTCTGAGCTATGCAGGGAGGTGAATGGGGTATGGTGGTTTAGTGCATTGGAATTTCCTAAGTGTTCCAATATGCCTCTTGGCTTTTTGCTTACCTGGGATGTTGTAACCTCTCAAGTGGTTTCTGGAGTTGTCACAAAGGCAATGTGGTCTCTTTATTGTTAAGTTGGTGTCTCTGTGGGTGAAGGAGAGCCTAGGGCTTCCTATATTGTGCCATGTAGTTGATGTCACTCCTCCGAGTGCTGGGACTTTTAAAAGCTCCCCAGGTGATTTTAATGTGTAGCAAAGTTTGGGAACCATTAGTTTTTCCCCCAGTTCTATCTGGCTTCCTTCATACAGAGGTTTCTATTGAGAGTGCCCTCAACAAATCACTTGTATAAGAATCCTAATCTCAGCCTTTGCTTCTGGAGAACCTAAGGTACCTTGCTTCGTAGCAGAACTGGCCTATTTCCTACAAGAAGGCAATAGCACAGATAGTAATCACAAGTTGCTAGGTAGTCTCAAATACAAAAATGAGCACCTAATAAAGTATCAATTATTTGCAGAAAGCCAGAACTTTGAATTGAAGGACCAGGTACATCAGAAAGAGCACAACCAGAACATGACTTTAGAATAACTGTAAATAACCTCGGAATCGTGAAAGTATATTGCATCTATCCATAAATTTTTAACTATAGTTCTCAGAAATTAACAATCAATTGCCAAAATTAAGAAAAAATAAATAGGTGACATGGATATAGTGGAGAAGTGAGTTAAGCTGGAGGATTGAGCAGAGAGAATTTTCCAGTATGTTCTGCAAAAGAACAAGCAAATAAAAAGTATGAGGAAAAACTTAGGCATAAAGGAGGAAGTGAGGAAGGATGTAATAACAGAGAACTGAGGAGAGAAAATATACTGAACGATATATCCAAGAGCTGGAAAAAATAGCTTTAACTATCCTCTGATTGAAAGATCCCTCCAAATATTAAGCAGAACTAACTG